TAAAAATAAACATTATCTCTATTCAGCAAGTACAATGTGACTAGTATGTGCCAAACCATAGAATACAAAAGTTCTCAGGGAATTCATCCTGTAGGAATAGCTAATCTGTGGGACTTTATATTCACTAGTGTTTATTAAACAGGCCACACTGTTTACATTTCAAGACTCTATGAGACTAGTTCCGTTTGGGTGATAAATGTGAGAGGATGTCAAATATTATAATTTGGTCTCAAAACTTTGAACTCATATTGCTTAAAGACTTTAAAATGTTAACATTTACGTTTTTAAAACCAAGACTTTAATATACCTGGAAAAAGTAGATTATTTAAGATTAAAATTATAGTCCCATATCCAGAATAAGGATGACAGAAAAAGAATTGACATCTTTGAGCTGTGATGTTGAAGAAGAGCACTGAACATCCCAAGACTGCTAGGAGAACAAATGGATATGTCTTGGAGAGGGTGCAGCTGGAGTGCTCTTTGAAGGCAAGAATGATGAGGCTTAACCTCACATACCTTGGGCAGGTTGCTAGGAGGTGCTATTCCTTGGAGAGGGACATCATGATGGGAAGGGTGGAGGGTCAGTGGAGAAGAAGACTCTCAACAAGGTGGACTGTGACACAGTGACTGCTGCAATGGACTCATGTCTGTCAGGAAGTGTGAGAATGACACAGAATAGAACAGGGTTCAGATCTTTTGTTCATAAAGTCACTACGAGTCATACTTGACTCAATGGCATCTAACAACAACAGCAAATCCAGAATCTTACATTTAATGAAAGTTCTATGCACATCCTAAACTTGCAGAGTGGATAAAATATTTATTAATTAGATGTGATGTCATCATCTACAATTACGTTTGGATAGTTAAATTCTCTTCTCAAGGGGCCCTACTTATAACCTTAAAATAGAAGGACAGTGATGCGGTTTCTGAATGGAAAGAGGCCAGCGAAGTCTTGACACAAGAATCTCTCCACCACTGTCTAATATTCTGCCATTAATAATGCAACAGGTCATTTTAGCTCAATTATAAGGCCTTAATTCCCTTATGCAAAGCATCCCAGGGAGCTGATAATCTTGAATCTTTGTGTTACTGAAAATGAACACTAAATAAATTTATTTATTCTAGATAAATAAATTTATCAGAATAGGCAAAATGGTGGGCAAGTAATGAAACTGTAAGATGGCTATTTGAGAGAAAAGAGAATTGATGACTTGTTGCGTATGTTTTGCATCTGTTCAAATGTGTGTCATAGCTCTAGTGAAAGCCCATATTTTGAAATTCATTTCTTCACTTTTATAGTGTCCCATGCCCCTTACACAAATTGCCCTTGCTAACATTTTTAAGAAAAGGCATTCTGTGTCAAAACCGCCTCAACCAGCTTAATCAAGATGAAGACTAGTAAGCAGCTTCACTTCTCATCAGTCTCTTGATCTTACGCTTCTTCTCAAAAAGGTCCTTGTGTCTTTCTAGCCCTGAGATGGCTTGCGGTTCCCCAGGGCAATTTGGTAAAGATGATTTCCCTCTAGATTTCAAAAGAACCACAATTTAAAGCCTTAATAATTTGTTTCCTCATCATGGCTAAGGGAGCTCTTCTGGCTTAATGGTAAGGTATTGTGCTGCCAACACAAAGATACATGGTTCAAATACACCAGCTGCTCTATGGAGAAAAGATGGACAGTCTCCTCCCACATGATTTACTGCCTCTGAAAACCCTCTGAACAGTATGACAATACATAACAACAGTCAGGGTTAAGGCAGCTTTGGCGGCTATGGGATGAAGAGTTGCACTACTAAACAAAAGCATGCAGGTTGAATCCAACAGCTGATTTACAGGAAAAAGGCAGTTTGCTCTCATGTGATGACAGCCTCTAATGTTATTATGTAATGATTATCAGGTGAAAGATGGCAGGACCTCTGAATTTCTCTAGACCAATAGTTATAGTTCATATCTAGTAAGGGGAAAAATATTCTAGTAGGGGAAAAAACCCTGAATATTTAGGTAACACATGCCATAAAATTTAATAGCTATTGGTGATTTCATAAATATACCAAATAGTACTCTTAAACCCATTTTTACTCATTATGAGTCAGTTCTGGATCAAAAGCACATAACAACAACAAATCACGGTTAAGGATGGCTTTGGAGACTTAGTCCGTAAAGAGTTGCACTGCTAATTCAAAGGCCACACCTCTCTGGTGCTTAAAAGCCATAAGAATCTCCTTGGGGGAAAGCTGGGCAGGCTTCTCCTGTGCGTCAGACTGAGCAGAAGGTCCACTCTGAATCACTTCTAGCTCCTTGGCAATGAGAGAGAATCGTAGTGATGTTATTTGCTCCAAAAGGTATGCATTTTGAATCTACCAACTGCTCCACAGGAGAAAGACGTTAATCTCCTCTCATGAGGGACAGCTATGAGTTGGTCAGCTATCATTCTATGGCATATAACAACAAAATCTAGTCCATAGCAAGTATGGAAGACCTGAGAAAGTGGAAAGAGAGCAAAGTCACTATTTATAGGGGTGAGGAGGGGAGAGATGCCTTTTCCCTAATTATTTAGACATTTTATTCCTATGACTTCTAACAACATATGAACCTTTTTAATAGGATAGACTTTCTGTGTTTCAGCTTTAGGCATTTTCTTCTGGTTATATGCTCAGGATGGAGGACCACTTGTCTCAGCCATCTCCACCGTTCCCCATTGTTGACAAGCAAACTAAAGTTAGAAACAGCTGCGCGAGCAACTACTCCACAGCCAAGGAACTATGGCACTCACTTCTTTCAGAAATATGGCCATGAGTTATGTGGGGATTACATGGGAAGTTAGGTTTTCATATTGGAAAGTGCAGGTAGCATATTTAGGTATGGTTAGATTTTCTGGATGAAGATAGTTCATGTCTATACATGTTTGTATCTGCAGAAGTCCTGGATTTGAATTGTGAAAGGCATGGGAGTTCAGGTTTAAAACGGATTTCAAGTGGAACTGAAGTAACTAAAGGTGCTTGCTGAGGGAGCTCATGTGTCAGAGAGAAGCGGATTCTATTTCACAGACTCATAGTGCCATGAACATTCTTTAGGCTTATACGCATCATCATCTTCAGATGAAGGGCTTATGTTCTGAGGCAAGCAGAAGTAAAATTGCATTCATCATTTACCAGTCCTAAATTTCTTCATCCAAGGTAGACTTAAACTTAACTAGTTTAGAACTGGTGTTAAGGATCTTCATGCAATTTTTAAATAATTGATGACACTATGGGTATGTGAAATTGATCTTTTCCACAGAAACTTGTAATGATTATGAGGTGATGGATGTCAGAGCTCTCTTTATTTCTGTAGAGTGATAGTTATATCTCATATTCCAGTAGGTGGAAAATACAGATTTTTATTTTCCAATAGGTAAATGTAAATGACAGGAAGTACTTTTCAAAATAATTTATGATTTCATCATATTTTATAATTATCATACTTCTATTTTCCAGTGAGAAGTTCCCACCAATGGTTTTATGTGAATATCTAAGTATATATTGCCTTATATCTCACTTCCATATAACTGACCTTATTTGTCCTTTCTGCTAAAATCAAACCTGCATATTTAGAAAACACATGCCATAGAACATCTATTGATGATTTCACAAATATACCAACTAAATACTGTTTTTTACCCATTTCTCTGAGGACTAAAAACGAAATAGTTTTCAAATTCTGATGCTACAGTTCTTTTGCTCCTGTGTATTAGTAACTTATCAAAAAGTGGTCTCTTTGGCATGGTTTAGCTTATAGCTTTAAACTAACATTCAACAATGTGATTTTCCACATAAAATACACAACAGTGATTGCGTGTGGGTGTGCCAGGTGCAAAAAATCATGTCTGCTCAGGTTTTACAGATAATTGTCTCTAAGAAATGTTAAAAATAAGGTCAAAGTTCTTGTTTCACAGTATAAAGAATGAAATAAGTGTTTTGAGAAAGCCCATTCTAAGGCTGATATGTTTAAAAATGAAAAAAAAAAATTCAGCATGTACAATCTAGATTCTTTCAAGTAACTTGTGTGCTTTCATTTAAAATAATCTTATACATGGCTTTTCTTATTAGAGCTCAAATTTATGAATTGTGGTATTATTTACTCATACTATTTAAATGCATCCATACAAGATGAAAAAATGTTTCTATTTTCTCTGTACTTTTCCTTGCTGATAATATGAAGAATAATTGCTTATCTTTTTTAACATAGAAGGCAGCACACAGGATTAGGTGTAATAGAACAAGACTGCTGAAAATATTGCTATACTAGTAAAACTAAAATGTTTTAAGATTATCACAATCTATACCCTGTTCTCAATGTATGTTCATAAGCTCAGTTCATAAACAAGTGAAAATCAGAGGCTACTGTCACATTCCTTGTCTTTTTAAATTTTTTTTATTTTGAAGGACCCTATGCAAAATGTTCATTAAGAAAAATTGTAGGATGAATTGGGCAAATAGGGTTCTCCATCTTATATTCCATTTTATAATGAATCTTTTCTTCCAATATATAATAATATCTAACTACTTAATGTATAATAATGACTAATATCCCATGTTATTAAAAAATACCATTAGTCTATTGATACCTGTCCTTCAAGCCTTAATGAATTTATGTATTATGACTTTAAGAAAGTATGAAATGGTGGCTAATTCTAGAACAAAAACAGAATGTGGGGGGCAGAAATGTTAAATAAATAAAAATAAGGTAAAGTTGTTAAAAGTCTATGAAAATAAGAAGTTTTCTCCCTTGGAGACCAGAAGAACATTTAATATTTAGAATTTAAATTATAAAATATAAATTAAAATATTAAAAACATTACTTACATTCACATTATTTGCTTACTTAGCAGATTTGTTTTCAATTAAAATTACTCTAAACTTTGAATATGATGAATTCTTTTGAAGTGTACTTTGATTTGTTACAAGTATCATTTTCCTCATTTTCAGAAAATCACATCTTTCTTTTTATTGAACTACAGCTCAAAGAGTCATTCAAAGATATCAAAAAAAAATTCAACAATTTGAAGTTTAACTATACTAAGAAAAATGAAAAAGCCCGGAATCTGAAGGCTCTTAAATATCAAATTCAACAAGTTGATATGTATGTGGAAAAAATGCAGGTAATAAGAACATGATGCGGATGTGTCCAGTTATTGAAAAAAACTAACAGGGAATTAATACATTTTCGAGTCATTGGGACTCCCCTTGTAAAATATACTATTATGACTTATCCTGAGAGGAAGCTCCAAAATGGTTTCTGCTTTCTTCTAAACTGACTTAAGCTTTGTTGCTTCCCCTCTTTACACACACACACACACACACACACACACACACACGCGCGCGCGCGCGTGCTTCTCTTGTGTACTGCTCTTCTTTCACAGGTTCTGCAGAGCTTACCTCTTACATCTCTCTTGCAATGGCTAGATTACTTAATTATTTGATTATATGATAATCAGTTCTTTTATCATGTTATCACTCTCAAAACCTGGAATAGCCCTTGGCATACAGTAAATTTTCTATATGTCAAAAGTAGCTAAAAGAAAAGCCATTCTTTCCAAAATACCTTCATAATAGTTATAATCTTAACGTAGTGGAGAAAGCTAGGCAAGATCTTGTAACTTTTTTCTGGTTGTTAGATAACTATTGTATAATAAATAAGAATTGAATGTTGTTAAAAACTTTTTTTTACACAGATTCTGCGAAGGAAAATGGAAAAAACTGAGAACAGAATTTCTGATTCTTTATTAAATCATCCAAATAATCAAGTTAATGTCCTTTTGGAGACCATAGAGGATTTGCAAAAACATGTGAATGAATTTGACAAAGTTGTAACAGATTACAAAAAGAACTTGGACTTGACAGAGCATCTACAGGAGATGATAGAAGAGGTATTAACCCTTCACTGATTTTACATGCCCAAACTGAGAATTTCATTATGAGAGTGAAATTCACTTTTTACGATGTAATCAAATTGTAACATGTCCCAATTCTATACTCCGTGTGGATCTGATTTATTGCTGTAGATTGATTCAGAGTCTATGAAAATTCTTATGATAATGTCATCCTACTCCATATGCATGTATTGACTAAGAATTATAGAATCAGGTTTTTTTTAAGAATTATAGAATCCGTTTTAATCACTAATTGCTTATAATTTATTTTCTCTAAATGTTATAACCACATCTGTTTATTTGAGATTTGTGGGGAAAATTAATAAAATAACTTGTTTTTATGCAAAAAAAGTTTGGTCCTTAATATAAATCATCTGATCTCTTCTGGGATAGTTTATGTTCCCCCCAAAACTTCTGATCTAGTTTCTATAGATATTATTATTCCTCTTTTTTGTATGAAGAAATTGATCTCCAGAATTATAAGTTTACTGGCTCATTTTTCAATTATGTGTTTAAAAACACGGTCAGTTTTTTACATGCTGATTATCTATATTTTTTTTATCGCTGGATCACATTGAAGAATCCATGGTGGCACAGTGGTTGAAAGCATTTGGCTCCTAATCAAAAGGTCAGAAATTTGAACTGAAGGGCTCTTTCATGGAAGAAAGATGTGTCTAACTGCTTCCATACAGGCTTAGAGCCTTGATAAACCTGTAGACTTTATTTAGGTTCTCTCTGAGTCTGAATCAACTACGACAATAGAGTGATTGTTTGACTGGATTATATTTAATGGTTTTCATAGTTAACAAGTTTGGATTTAGTAATTTTTTACCCCCCCCCAAAATTTGTGATGATGTTGTGACAAGTTTTAAGTGACCGGAGACCATAAAATTACACAAACCTTTCATTTTGTTTGAGCCTCAAGTTTGAATTTCATCTTTTATACAATTGGAGCTCTGGTGGAATAAATCTGGGTAATAATTCCTCCTAGTCTTCTGTTCTTCAATTTGTAGGCAGATGATCAGTTCAGAACAGTTGTATAGTAATAATGTTTTTATGTTGCTTCAGTTTAAATATCCTTACATTTGATAAGAAATAACACCTTGATAATAAATTGATGGAAATTCAAGGTAACTTTAAAATCTAAAGATTTAAAAACAGCTATATCTCCAAAATATAAAAGTTTCAAATATACTGTTATGCTGGTACAGTACTTGTCTGTCAGTTTGCTGTATTGAGATAACTTGTGGGTTGCTGTGATACCGAAAGTTGTGTTACTTGGTGTGTCAAATACCATAAAGGTTACCATGATTAAGACAGATTAGGAGGCAAGATTGGTCACTCATTTCTTAAATAACAGGCCTCTGAAAATTTTATGAATACAATGAATGCCACAGTGGTCTCTAGTGTGTCAGGAAGTGTGACGATGGAACAAGATGAGACAGAGATCGAATCCACTGTTCATAGAGTCTCTATGAGTCCTTCTTGACTCAATGGCACCTAACAACAACAATTGTTATGCAAGAAGAAAAATACCACCACTCATCAGACAATATTTTTCAAGGCAAAAACATTTGTTTATAAAATGAAGTGTCAAATATACTGTTTCTCTTTCAAAAATATAATTTTAATTCCTGTCACTGTGAGTTGCAAATGACTTGACGGCACATAACAACAACAACAACAATCATAATTTAATCACTCTTTATTAAGGTCATTTGAAAAGGTTATCTGCTATTTTCAAGCAACTCTACATTACATACTATTGTCGTCAAATCCATGCATTTTGTCATTTCTTGGGCTATTTCCACAGGATAATTTTCAGGAGTGGAACTATATGAGGGAGGAAGATTATCTCGAAGTTTATTGTCGTATTATACAGTTGCTCATTAAGAAGGTTTTACTAATTTACCAGCAACATAGGATAGGTACCATCTCTCATAGGATAGGCTTCCATATGTATATCAACACAAAATATTCAACTATAGAATAATATTTAATATTCTATACAGGAAAAATATCTGTTTAAAGTATTCACAAGAGTTTATTTAAAAATATTGAAAAGTTTTAGAAAAAAGAAATATTATGATTTTCAGGTCCACAAATAGTTATTAATATTACTATTATTACTGTTACAAGGATTATTGTTGTTCTTAGGTACCATTGAGTCAACTTGTATATAGTAGATCATACATAAAATATATATTTGATAAATTAAAGTTATTATTTGCTTATTTCATATTGAAGAAACTACTTGAATTTCTTGAATCTTATCTGTAACCCATTATTCTGAGAAATAGAACATGTATCTCTGTCAGTAATCTAATTGAGGTTTTCGATTTAACACTGCATTAAGAAGAATTAAGATAATCATTCTTCTACGTCTGATATATAGGTTTGCTGCAATACTTTGACATTCTAGTTCAACTTTCTGCTGAGAATTTGCATTTTCGTCCCAGATAACTGGATTAGAAGCTGCATTTTTAACCAAATCAAGAGTGTTTTTACCAAACAAGGTTCTTTTCATAGCTCCATGGAGCTTATTTAAATCCAAGTTCTAGCAGAGTTGTGTTTTCCCACCCAACATAAGTCTCCTGGCCTGTGTCAAACACATTCTTCCCTTATAGACTTTTTTTTCCCAGAAAGAAACTATCTCAATATCTATTGTCCTTTTAAAAGATTACTATCATCTATTTTGAAAAGGTCAAAATTATCTCCTTTAGCATATTTATCACATAGTGATTTATCCATTTATTGTCCATGAATTCAGTTATTCATGTATTATTTTTTTTAGATGGGTTTTTTTTTAACTTGTTTTTGTTACTTGTAATATTACTTCTTTCTTTTAAGGGTATAATATTCCACTTTGCAATTACTCTTCAGGCAAATCTAAAAAGGCAGGATAATCAAACATATTTGATCATGATTTTATGTTTTCTTTATTATAGTTAAGAAAATTAGAGTTAAAGTGAATAGATTTCTCAAGAAAATCTTTCAAAGCTCCAAATTAACAATATTAGTAGGATGGAATCTCTTTAACCCATGCTTTGTACCCTTTTGATTTAGTGTTACTTTTGGTATGAAGATGCAAGTGCCACAGTAATAAGAGTTGGAAAATATTCCACAGAGTGCAAGACCAAGGAAGCTGTGGAAATTCTCCATCAGCAGTTCAATAAGTTTATTATACCCTCAGTTCCCCAGCAAGAAGAAAAGATTCAGGAGATCACTGACCTTGCTCAGCGCTTATATGGTAAGAGCTCTTTTAAGATACTCAGATTTGCCATGGAACACATTTGTGAGAAACTAATCCAGCAGATTGTGAGTGCACCGGCAAACCCTCAGGTCCTCAGTACACTGGCCTATTCATGGAAAAGCCTAAGAGAAGAGTCTTCACCCAGAAAAAGTAAACAATGAGGCAGAGAGGGAGGAAATTCTGCCAGCAGAAGCTAAAACCTGCTGACTTTTAATAATTTCATGTAAATCTTCTTTCACTATTCTTTCTCCACATTCTTGTTGATCATCTCCAGGTTAATAAAACCAAACCAAAACTGGTCAAACATAGCCAAAAATTACCTGATTTCCAAAGCTGTTTTCTTGGGGGAAAAAATAGGCAAAACTCACGTAATATTTTAGGTCTAGAATTAAGTCTGGAGCCTCTAGTAGTCTCATTTCTGTGAACGCCATAGTTCATGATTTAGAAGAAGAGATAAATTCTGTCTTGTCTTCCTCTCTCTTCTTGAATAAATATAAAAACTCAAATGATTATGTTATAAATACTGCTTTCCTCTGCTCCATGATCGGGAAGTTGTTATCTGAGAAGTCTTTCTTCTTAAAGAAAACACCTACTTAGGCCCCATAAATGTTGACAGTCCCTGAGGAGTCATTTTTTTTTACAATGAAAGAATAATTTTAAAGAGAAAAGTGAACTAAGTGGGGATTGTTGTTGTTGTTATGTGCCATCGGGTCACCCGCGACTTATAGCAACTCTGTGTACAACAGCCCTAAACCCTGCTCTATCCTGTGCCAATCTTATTGTCTCTGAGGAGTAATTTTTGTGAATTCACTAATATCATTCCTATGAGACTAAAGATACTACTTACTACCCAATGAGCAAGCAAATCTAGCCCAGAAAGAAGACAGCAACAGGTGAAACCAAATGCTTCATTCAGCTGCCCACAGCTGCTGTCAGCTCGATCTTTTATTTTATAACATGAATCACTGCTATTGGATAGTTGTAAAAATTTCAAACAACGAAACAACAATATATTCTATACTACTTAGTGCTAAATTTTTAGTAAAAAATTAATAATGAAGAAAGAAACATAAAAATTATAAACATAGATTGAAGAGTTGGTGAAAACTGATGTTATGTGACATTTACTTTACTTTTTGGTACACTGAAGTTTTTTGGAAATATTATATTCCTATAATATTTTATTATTTATTATAAGCTCAATGACTGTAACAAAAGAGTTTGAGTATTGAGTATATCAGAGATGATATGGATGACACAGGATAAGGTCAGATCTGTAATTCATAGGGTCACTATGAGTTTTACTTAACTCAAAAATATCTAACAACAGCAACAATATAATATTTAATATTTTCACCTTTTACTGTATTCAAACCCTTTGTCCTTCCTACTGACTTCAATTTCCCTAAAGATAAGACTACGAAATTTTATCACTGTATCTCAGTGCCTATCCAGTTCTAGCCCATAAGTACTCACACATACCCGCAAATGTTAAATTCCTTCTCACAATGCAGCGGTCACATATTCCAGTTTTTGTCTTTATTTCTGGCCCTTATCATCAACTGATGGTTAGCTGTCTGCCGTCTGTCTTTCCTTATGAGAGTTTAAGCCCCATGAGAGAAGAGGCTTTACCTATTAGCTAAGTGCTTCATGTCACATCCTAAGTGCTTAACCAATACTTGAATAAACCAATCTGTTCAGTATAGAAGCTATGCTTTGATTGAGATACTTTAGCAATATTATATCTACTCTTGTAGATCATTCAAACTTTCTTAAATTTTAATTCAAATAATTAACCTAAAAAAGAAATAATCGCTTAACTTATACTTAGCAGCTGTGGTTGAGCTAAACTAAAGACCTAGCTTTTGCACTGAAGAAAGTCAAAATATGTTAAATTCACTGTAAAAGAAATGAAATGTATAACTTAGTGTAGATTTTGGACTCAAGTGATCCTGGATTAAAATCCCTACAGTTAGCTTCTTTTGAGCCTTGATTTCTTGTTTGTAAAATGTGGATGATAACAGAATATACTTGAGATTTACATTAGTAATGCATATGAAGTCCTTAGCCTACAGGCAAATAAAAAGGACTACACAATAAACGGTAAGTATGGAATTGTCTTTTTGTTGCTATAGTTATTTTTTAATTTGTTGGTATTTTAAGGAAAGAAATATTTATTTTGTTTGGTATAAAAATACACAAAGGAATTAGGGTTACTTACATTGGAAGGGCAGTTTGAAGCCAAAGTAGAAAGGGCCTTGGATAACATCCTGAGGAATTGATATCTTTTTAGACAGTAGAGAATGAATGTTCTGAACAAGAGAAAGGTGGATTAAAATGGAAATTTAAGAATATTAATATGGAAATACTTTATAGATTCTGTACCAATGGCATGGTACAGAAAATGTAACCACTTTCCTAATATCCATGGCTTTTCAAAACAAACAAAAAAGTCCTCATTCATTTATTTAAGTTTAGTAAGTCCTTATAAACACTTTTCATATACCAATTTTTACAGCAGACTTGGAGGCTATGAGTTAATGCCTGTATTTTTCTAAATTTCTGCTAAAGATTTGACCTTTAAAAATAGCTTTGTCTTCTTCAAGGTGTGGAAGAAGGGAAGAAATATGCTGAGAAAATAGTAGCAAGACATAAAGAAGTTCTTGAATCTGTTACTGAATTATGTGGATCTCTCACAGAGCTTGGAGAAAAGCTGAAGGTAATTCCTCCTTCCCAGAATATGTATTTTTAATAGGAATAAATAGAATAAATAGTTGATCACGTGTCTTCTAGTGCAAAGCTGTTCTATTAGAAATTCTCAAGGGGCATAATGTGCACATTTGCTTCATAGTTTTCTAGTGTAATCATTTGAGTGTGTCTTATAATTAATTCTTGTTTCTTTTATATTACTGCAGAGAAAAATATTGCTAGGCGTGAGGGCTAAACACAATTAAGGTGTCTTGTTTGCATTTTCATGGATCACATCCTGAAGAATAAATGTGTGTCATTAAAACCAAAGCCAAGTCTATATTAAGTAGCCTTATGTTTTTGTTTACTAATGATGGATGTAAGGTATCTCCCCCTCCAAATTCTGGACACGAAAATGAAATGAGTCTTCAGCTATTAGATTCATTGAACATTTAACTCTATGGAAATATTAAACCAGCCATTGATTTGCTTGATTAAACAACAACAGCAACAAAAATAATGTTAAAAATGCAGAGAAAATGTACCTAATCCAGGTTATTGTCTTCTCAATTACTTGTTATGCTTCAGAGAGCTGGACAATGACTAAGGATAATAGAAGAAGAATAAATGCTTTCTAGTTGTGGAGTTGTGGAGAAAAGTCTTGAACATACCATGGACTGCCAAGAAAACAAATCAGTCTGTCTTGGAGAGGGTGAAACCAAGTATCTCCTTGGAGGCTAGAATTTTGAAGCTCCATCTCACATATTTTGGGCATGTGGCCAGGAGAGACCAGTCTTTGGAGAAGGGCATTATGCTCAGAAGGGTGGAGGGACAGCGCAGGAGAGGAAGACCTTGGATGAGGTGGATTGATACAGTATCTGGGGCAATGGGGGTTGGTGTATGGAAATCAGTGAGACTGGCTCAGGACAGGGAAGGGTTCAGAGGTACTGTATGTAAAGTCACTATACATCGCAGGCAACTCAACAGCACATAACAACAAAAACTTACTATATTGGTTGTTTTTTTATTTAAGCCTCTTGTTTAGAGTCAACAAGACCTTGGGGAGGACCCTTGTATTTAAAAGTTGGTTGTTATTATATTTTTTAGGAACATTCTTCTAAGTGGTACAGCACTTTCCTGTCAATATGTACTGAGGTAACCTGGGGTTGCTGAGGTGCTGAACCTTGTGCCATTGGGGTGTCAAATGTCATACGGTTACTCATGGCGCACAGTGTTTGGTGGAGCTCCCAGTTTAAGATAGGTTTGGAAGCAGTAGTGGCATTTACTTCCTAACAATATGCTTCTGGAAACTATGAACTTTGATAAATGACGATAATTACAGAAAGGCTTCAAGCCTTTTGTTCCTAGGGTCGCTATGAGTCATGCTCAACTCGACAGCATCAACAACAACAGCATGTTTAGGTAACAACCAGATAAAGTGGGAAATAACAGATTGTGTTTCATATGATCATTCCCATACATGGTGTTTTATAAAATTAATCACCATTGATCTATGCTCACTATTCCTAACCTATGCCCACCAAATTCTGCTGCCCTGTGGTTTCTCTTCCTTCCTGTCCTCAGCCTCCTGGCCCCTCTTCTTCCCCTTTCAGAAGTTTATGCACACATTACTATGCTAGTTATCCTGCTATTTTGGAAGTGGATGGCCAATCCTTCTTCCTAGCCTGTCTTATTTTGGATGCTCAGGTTTAGGACTGTATCTGACCGATAAGCATTTTACCCAAAAGAGCAGATGAAAGACCTTTCCCCATACACAGCTAACAGATTCCTCTTTATTTCCAACTTTTGCATTTCAGGCACCAGTTATTATTAATGAATCTTGGTTGCATTTTTTGATCAATTTCAGACTGCAGAAATTGGTAGTTGTAGGTTCACCTGTGTCAAATGTATAGTAAAACAAAATCACGTGTCTAATAATAAGATTGAAAATAAAAGCTTCTCAGTGTAGGCATTTTCCCCTGAATCATGTGAACCAGAAAGGTATGTCACCTTAAGGAAAATACATGTTTTTTAAAGTACCTCAAATGACAATATATGTTCCAAAAGGAAAGCAGAATCATCTATTGGGGTATTATTGCTACTAGGGTTATTTCGTGGGTCTTTCACCTTCATAAAATCTTTTGGGGACCTCCCACTGCTTTTTTCTTCAGCCACCCCAAATTTCATCTTGTGAAATTTGAAACGTCTTATGAAATGAAGGAGCAAAATCTCACTGCCTGCATGAAGCTTGCTTTGTTCTCAGTTGTTTGGAGTTTTGGTGGTGGTGGTGTTTTGTTGTGCTTTTGGCCATAGAGATATTTTCCTTCCTTTTTTCCAAGAGTCTTGTGTAAAATGTCTAAATGTCCTGCTTTTTTTCTCTATAGAGACTTTCAATTATTCTCTTGCATTGCTGCTCCCAGTCTCTCCTAATGGTTTAAATTCTCATGCACAATGATTCTTTTGTCTAGTAGATGCACCTGAAGTAGTGTCCTAGCGTAACAACTTTTTTCTCTCCATGCTGTGTCTTTGAACAAGCAATTTTCTTTTCCCTGGCAATGAATTTTATCAAAGAAACAAGGATAAAGCTAACAAGCTCTGAGCTTGGAGGGATAGTGTTGTAAATGACCTTGTGGGCGCAATCAATCACTCTAGTGTATATTTACTGAAAGTTTGTAAATAGTCCATGTTTTCTTCCAAGAGGCTATAATATGGCTCTGCTCCCTACCTCCTTGGTCTCAGACTCTCAATGAACCATTGTTTCCCACAGCAAGAAGATGTTTTGAAAACCTATCCAAATATGGAATGCTTTCATGATGGTTATGCTGACCTACTAAAAGAACCAGAAAGAAATAAACAGACAATATTTGATGAAGAAAGCAGTGAGGTAAAGGAAACTACTAAGCTTTCATTATTTATTGTTTTAGTTTCGAGGTCAGAGTCATTGTACTCTACAAAAAAGAAAGTCAACGTTTCTTGTGTGTATTAGTTGAATATCTCAATGTAAATGCAATGTGAATTTCCTCTTCCTTACTTACGATTTACTCTTAGTTCTCTTTCCTATAGTCTTTCCCTCTCAGTCACTCCTTTAAATACCGGAATTGTCACATTTCAAATTAACTTTGGGGCAGCCATTCAACAGCCACAATGTCACCACAAAGTATTTATGTTTACTCCATTTCAATGTTGTATTTATTCCTCTTTATTACAATATGAAGCTATGTTTTTTATTGTTTTACATTAACCATTAGGGAAATCTTAGGAGCAGCAGTAGTAATAATTGTGGTTGAGTCAGATCCAACTCAAGCTGACCCACCAGTGGTTTTTTTTGGAGGGTGTTAATTGCATGGGAAGAGATTTCCCACTTTTCTCCTGAGAGCAGCTGGTGGATTTCATCCACCTTCCTTTAGATCAGCAACACAGCTCCGTACCCACGTTAGATCATAACACCTATCCAATCACATGTACTAAAATGTAGACTCCTGCAGTAATATAAGTACTTTCGAATTTAGGGAAATGCTTAAATTACTTTCAAAATTATCCATGGAAAGATAAATTAGCTTGTAGCAAATACTTAAAACAATCACAAAACAAAAGAGTATCGTGAATTCAAAAATGACATCACAACACCATTATGGAAGTTCTGGGTAAGTTGTTCATTATTTATAGCTGTTAAGCTATTATTAGCTTGACTTTTTGACTTTGCTTTGCCATTTTTCCTGCTCTCAGTGTTTCCTCTGCTGAGGCGATGAAAGAAAAATCAGCATTAACATTCTTCTCAACTGCATCCAAAATAATAAAATATACTTCTTGATATATAAAAAATTTTTTTAAAGTGCCCACATGTTGCAGTTAGCTTATGGAAAATATTTACAAATCTTTGAAGTCAATACAGTTCCTAGGACTACATTTTCCTAGAGTGAAATGCAATTATGTGAACATTCCTCCTCCTCCTCCTGTCTTTCCTGCCGAGTCAGTTCTGCCTCCTACATGACCCTACGGTGGGTTTCCAAAGCTGTAATTCACAGAGGAAGAGACATGATGTGTAAGCCCATGACTCTTTTGTGGTACAGTCTTCAGGCATTTGAAAACTCTGATTATTATCCAAGACAAAAGAAAGTTGCCAAAATGTGATCTTCATTTTATTTGAAAAGGTGTTTTGGGTGTTCAGGCTTTGTCAAACTCAGAGTTTCTCATTCTCAGTGCTAATCAGAATTCTTTATGGTGGGGAGGTGGACTGTACATTACAGGAGGTTTGGAAGCACCTCTGGCTTCTATAACCCAGATGCCAGTAGCCCCTTCCTCACCCAAGTTATAACAAACAAAAATGTCTCCAGATGTGGCAAGTGGCCAATGGAGGACAAAAATCACTCCTGATTTTGAGAGCTATGGGCTGAAATAATAAAGAGCAACACTAAATGCATATAATTTTATCAACTAAATTCTGACACTTCCTAAGTCAAAACTTCTATCAGTTATTTTGTTTTATTTGGAAATGTTTTTTCATTGTAAACTAGGCACTTTTACTAAGAACTCAGAAGTAAAACATAGTATTACTAGACACTTCACCAATGAAGACATTCAGATGGCAAACAAAAGAGGTGGAAGCAACGAAAGTGCCCATCAACAAATAAATGGATAGAAAACCGATGGTACATTCATACAGTAGAATATTACACAACATTGAAAAACAATGAACTCATAACACATTACACAACATAGGGAAGCCTGGAAGACATTATGGCTGAGTGAAAAATCTCAGTCTTTTTAACAAAAAATACTTGATAACAGTGCTCTTAAAAAATAGGACAGATGTGGTGTGGGTGGTGAGCGAATAGGAAAAGAGTGGATAGATAATGAACACTGTATTGGATTAGATGAGGGAAGAACTGTCTGAAAGGAATAAATGATTAATTATTATATGTATAAAACCAATCTGGAACAAAAGGTACTTTGTAAAGTGGACTAAGGGGGAGAGGAAAGAGGAAGGCAGGAAAATGTGCAACAATGAATGACTTAAAGATAATTTTAAAAGAAAAATGTAACAAAAAACCCCCAATTTACTATTACCAAAGCACATGGATTTCTCTCTTTTTTGGTAAATAATAAAGATACATTTATTAGAAAGTTATATCCCCAAAAGGATGGACTTCACTCCTTGAAAAGAAATATGAGGGGAAAGAAGGAAGGATTTCTTGCTTCCATCTATTTTTGTCAGAAAATTGGTCAATTGATAACAAGTTATTTAAAATAACTTTTACTTTCATCTAAATAAAGGCACATACTAGACCATCAGTCACTTAGGATAAATGTGAAGACACGTAATTATAGCTGTCAAGAAGTCTTATTGACATAATTTCACTACACCCTTCTGGTGCAATTGAAGCAGACAGTAAAATGAAACAGCAGCTGTAATCTTCCCTTTTAAACAGCTCAATTACATTTACCCTCTTATTGTCCCTATTATTTGTATTATGGGTCAGGTATAATGATTTCCCAAAACACTATGTGGGCCAGTAACAGGATGGACTGAAAAAGCTGTCAGGAAATCACTGTATTTAATTCTGATAGAGTTTAAAAGTGTTCCTCTTCCTAGGAAAATTACTAAAGTCAGAAAGAACAAGTCCATAAAACTATTACAAAAAATGTATTCATCCCAAGAATTTTCTTCTATAGATAACAGAATATTTTGCATTTCCAAATAACAAAATGAAATGGATTAAGTTAGACCATTAAGTAAATGCAATGTATGTTCCACTGCTAATGGATTAGTAGTGGTGTTTTTATAAATAAGGTGAATGTTGATGCTAAATCCACAGTCATATCTGAAAACTCCTCAGGTTAAATGGAAGCACAGAGTAGTGAGCAATTGCCGAATATTACAGAACTATTCCATGGAAGAGGAGAGCTTGCAATCCTAGCATCTAGAGCTATAGAATTTTACTGCTAGAAGGAACTAAAGAATTACGTGATCAAATCTCATTTTACAGTTGTGGAAACAGAAACCAAAAGAGATTAACCATCTTGCCTAAAACAGTTAGGGTCAGGACTGGCAGACCAACCCAATACTCCTGAATTTCAGTTATGTTCCTGAAACAGTTATGTTTCAGTTATGCTTTTTGTTCCTCTAGAAAATCAACAAGGGAGAGAACCAAGAAACTACTGCATATATATGTTGCTTTGTAGTGATACGGTAGCTTTCCATGCCATCTTTCCCATTCCACTCTTTCAACTATTTAAGTGATAAAAAGTAAACATGAGAAATAGTTTTGTACTAAATAATTCAGTCTTGTCAAACTGGGTAAGGATAGCTCCTGGGCCTTCTGTAATTAATTTTGTTTACCTGGCAGGTAAATTCTAAGCTGAGCAAGACATTCTTGAGACAACTGCTTTTGAAAAAATCGGAGTGAGGACACAGTGTTCTTCACCACTGTCTTAGATGTGTCAAATTGGCTGGGCTGTGATCCTCAGGAGTTTGGCATTTATGTAATTTAGCAGTTGTAAAATGATGTAATTTACCTATGATGTCATCGGCTGTAATAAATTCATCATTTGTAAGAAGATTAGAATGGTGTACAACACCCTCTTCAGGCCATAGCCCTGATCTGATGTAAAGGAAGGTTCCCTTGGAATGTGGCCTACATCACCTTTTGTCTTAAAAGAGGTGAAAGAAAAGAGAAGTAAGCAGACAAAAAGAGAAATCAGAACCACCAAAAGAGAAAAGTCAGAGAAAGCTCATCCTTTGGACTCAAAGTCTTGTGATGAGAACCTCTTAGACCTCCTCCTAGTTTTCAAAAACATAACTTTATTAAATTGAATTCTTTTATTACCAGCCCATTTTATAGTCTGTTTAAATCTTTTTGATCTAGATTCTTTAATGCAAACTATAGAAATCCCTGGTTTCAATTTAAGTGTGTAATTTTGTTCATAACATTATTTCCTGTCTGTTGTTGTTGCTGTTATGTGCCATCGAGTCACTTGTGACTCATAGCAACCCTACATACAACAACCCTAAACTCTGCTCTGTCCTGTGCCAATTGCACTGTCTCTGATACACACATCCCAATTACCGAGTCACTGAATCAATCCATCTCATAGAAGGTCTTCCCCTCCTGCGCCATCCCTCCAACCTCCCAAGCATGATGTCCCTCTCCAAGGACCTCTCCCTCCTTAGAACATGTTCAAAGTACGTCAGACGAAGCCTCAGGATCCTTGCCTCCAAGGAAACACCTGGCTTAACCCTCTCCAGGATGAATCTGTTTGTTTTCCTAGCAGTGCATGGTACATTCAATACTCTTTTCCAGCACCACAGCTCAAAGGCATCAATTCTCCCTCTATTCTCCCTACTGTCATTGTCCAACTCTCTGACACATAACAAGTGATTGCAAAGACCATAGCCTGTATCAGACGCACCTTAGTCTCCAGAGAGACACCATTGCTCTTCAGTACTTTGGAGAGGTCCCTAACAGCAGGCTTTCCCATGGCAAAGTGCCTTTTAATTTCCTGGCTACTAGTGCCAATAGTGTTGACTGTGGAACCAAGCAAACTAAAGGTGTGAACAATCTTAATCTCTTCACCATTGATCCTGATGCTGGGCCAATTGGTCTAGTGATGAGAATCTTTGTCTTCTTGATATTGAGCCTCAATCCACACTGAAGGCTGCAGTCCAGCAAGCACTTCAGGTCCTCCTCAGTTTCAGCAAGCAGGGTTGTATCATCTGCGTAATGCAGATTGTTGATAGATCTTCCACCAATCCTGATAGCACATTTGTCCTCATAGAGACCAGCCTCCCAGATAATCTGTTCTCTTGTGTGATTTACAGTCGCAGAAACTCACTGGAGGCTCAGCTGTGAGTTGGGTACATCTCAAGGGCAATGAGCTTGAGTTTTTAAATGCATGAGACTCCAGAAGTCAGGGCACTACCCTTTGAGACAGGCAGCTCTGCTTCCTGTGCCCCTTCTCACTTCAATTTCTGCTTCCTATTTCTTTGGTCTCTCCGGCCTTTGGACTTTCTGGTTCACTTGCTCAGGCAAGTGTCATAAAATGTTTATAATTCTATCACTAAGTGCTCAGAAGAATCCTACTCTGCCAGTATTTCTTAGCCTGAGGTGCTCAGCCCTCGCATTCTGGGGACTGGCAAGCCAAGCTCTGTTTGTAAGTACCCAGAGGCACTGTACTTCACAGGAAGCCTCTGTGCTGGAAGGTACTCAGCTCTCCTGCTCCCGAGGTCAGTTCCCATGCCATCTCATGCTGAATTCCTACTTTTGCGGATAGCATGTCTTTGCCATGTATCACTGTTTTCTATATCCAGTGCTGTAGCTCTTCTCACTAAGCCCTTTTCAGAGTTGCCCTTGATATCTACATCTCCACCCACAGTCTCTTTAAGAAAGGATAGACTTTATATTTTAAAATAATATTAGGCACACTAAAACTCTTCTGTCCTTCAGAACTGGGTACTCAATTCCAAAATGCTTCCACATTTTAGTGTCATAGCAGCACTCATTCTGCTGAAACCAAATTCCATTTTGGCTGTCTAGTACTGTTAATAGCAGCAATACTGCAAGTGGATTACTTTACCAAGCAAAACATTTATTTAGTACTGTAATCACAGAAATGCCATAGCAGGATAGCTTTAACAAACAGAAATTTGTTCTCTCAGAGTCTGAATGGCTAGAAGTCTGGACTCAGGGTACCAGTTCTAGGGAAAGACTTCCTCTCTGTCATCACTCTAGGCTCTGTCTCTCATTCCTATTGTTAAAAAGTAGCCATCTAAGTACAAGACAGAAGAAGTAGGAACTCTTAGTGGGCTAAAATTTGGTACATTCATAGATCTCTGTAGAAATGATCTGGTGGTGTCACTGTCTCTACAAAATGTTATTCTATTATAGGAATGGTTGTTGTTGTTCCGTGGAGTCGGAATCCTCCCGTAGCTGATCCTCTGCTGGATTTTCAGAGGCAGTTAATCACATGGAAGGAGATTGCCCATCCCTCTCCCACAGAGCAGCTGGTGGCCTCGACAAGCATGCCTTCAGGATTGCAGTGCAGTCTCTTGTCACTAGGCCACCAGAGTAAAAAAAGACAAAAATCTTGGGGTTGATTCCCTTTCTGAGTTTGGCACCAAGTGAGAGCAAGGCTTTGAAAAGGAGCCATGTCTGATACCCAATGAAAATGAAATTGGAGGAGTAGGTTTATGGATTTCTCTAGTGTGCTGAGACAGGTTGATATAGTACCTAGGGCAATGGAGACTGGAGTGCTGGAATCAGTGAAACTGGCTCAGGACCGGAAAGGTTTGAGAGCTGCTGTACTTAGGGTCACAGGCTTCTCAGCAGCACACAGCAACAACAATTAGTGGGCTTCTCAAAAACTTTCCCTCTGATTTAGGTGAATTCACCCATGTAGTCACTCAAGTGCATAGCTAGAAAACTACAGACTGATCTTTCAGGCCTTTTCATGTCCAAAAGACAAGCTGAGCGGGCCTGTTTGGTAGGTAGAAGACCAGAAAGAGGGCCTAAGGGAGACTGAATTCAGCTAGCCCAGTTCCTTCTTCAAATCTCTCCATTTTAGGCAAATCCATTCCTTCCCAGTAAGAATGAAGAACAGGGAGAGAAGCCTAGACTTTTTATTCAGGTTTCTTTCTTATACTTTTTATAAAATCTCAGACACTTCTAAAATATTTTCTTCTCTTTGAAGTGGCACAGGCTACCTGAAGAAATCATCAAGTGGTTCTCCATGCATGGCCTTCAGAACAGTAAATGTCAATCTCTTGCACTCCTTTGAAGGAGCTTATCACCCGGTAGGAATTGTTCCTCGTAGGAGGTGACCAGGATGATGAAAGTTTGAGAATCAAAGTTTAAGAGGACCTGAGAGCATTTAGTAGGAAGAAAGAGACTCAGAGGCTGTGGGACTAAATTCTTCAAATAGTTAAAGGGTTGTTTTAGGAGAGAGCAGTTAGACATATGCTGTCATTCCAGGAGGCTGATTAAGATCCATTCGTTGAAATTGCAGGGAGGCATTGCTTTGCTAAATATAGGACACAGAAAGAATACAAGAGCAAAATTCTTTTCAAAGAGGCTGCCAGACATGCTATAGAGGAGATTCTTAGACTGAGCAGAAGGAGGGATCAAAGTGCTGAAGAGAAGGATAAACATTCCACTTTTAGCCAGAGACCGAAAGAGGCAGAGCTAAACTGTGTTGGGACAACCACAGAAAGATGGGGCAATCCTTATTGGACATATGCCTAGACTGGTTTATTTGTAAATGAAAGGAACTTTCAAAAGCCTCAGCTCTTAGACTGCAAATTTAAACTTCTGAATGGGTGAAATAAACCATCTTTCCTAAGCTAGGCTAATTCTTTGAACAAAAATCACCTCTGTGGGACAGGAGAAGGAACACTTCAGTATTTGTTTTCAGCTACGTAAGCTAAAAACAGATTTATTTACTAAATAAACTTATTATTATTAAGTTTTATTAGTTTTAATGAACATTTTCAGAGATTTGGGGTTCTCATTCATTCATTGTTGCACTGTTTTCTCTACCCTCCTCCCCAGTTCTTTCTTCTTCCCCCCCCCCATGAATGTCTGTTTTAATTGTCCAATTGCCATAGTGCTTGTCAAAGCCAGTTCTGATTAATCTCCTTTGTCAGTGTGTCCCTTGCTATTCCCTATCTCTCCTCCCTGAGAGAGACTTCACCCTGATTCATAAGGAAAAGGGGATGGCGTGTTCTCTTAGCTACTTCCTGCTGAAAAGGGACGCTGTGAGTTTCAGGGTGAAGATCTTCTCGCACTACTCTAAAGGGCCCCTTTGGCAGTAGGAAACACATAGACTATTATGGAGATTGATTTTGGAATTTAGATGCACTGTTATCAATTGTGCTTAGCCGTACATGTTCATATCCTTAAAAATGTATCATGGAGGTGTTGCTAAATAAACTATTTCTATGTCTATACCAAGCCTATAGGTTAAAAGAATTGGTGTTGGTTTTTTGTTTTGTTTTTTTTTAAAAAAAAAAGAAATCAAGGTCACTTGTAAGGCATAACTTCCTTACTTGCATGAAGTAACTAAAAGACAAAACGTGTGCATGCTAAGTAGGTAAAAATGCACCAACTCTTGTTCTTATATAGTCAGAATCAGCTCACAGCTTACCCTCCAGGGAGCCATAAATCATGTGGCAAGAAATTGCCCCCTCTTTCTCCCACAGAGTCGCTTGTGAATTCAAGTGCCAGAGAGGAGCCACTTTGGGGCCAGTCACACAACTCCCTGTGGATGAGGCACCAGAGATCGCTCAAGGGCTAAAAAAAGGCAAGAGGAGAGGAAATATAAAATGGAGCATTTGTGATAGATGAGAGGTCTCTTTCAGCCTCCACGTTCTTTTGCTTCCATACTGGCATGAGTGTTTAATCTTAGGCTTTTAAGGAAAAATAACCAGTAGTAATTGAAGGGAACTTTTCAGATGATGGTTTGAAAGATTTTGACCCTGTTCAATCTTTTCTTTACAGATGAGAACTAGGGCTTTTCCTCTTATAGTTTAAAAAAATCTATCACATTTCACTTAGCGGTGCTGAGGTCAATAATGTAATGATTCCTCAGTTGTGGACAGGGCTGTAGAATACTTAGGCAGACAAGTGGTTTCAAGTTCCATGATCCTTGGGCCAGGATCCCAGCTTAAACTGGCTATAGACTGTCTCCAGTTGTCTCTGAAGTGAAAATTTACTCTAACTGGGACCTGGGGAAATAAAAATGAACAACAAACTTGAAGTTTTGGTTTTTCTTTTTTGAAGGGGCAGAGAAAAATGGCAGGCACTTCAGCCACCAATGGAGCAGAGGAAGATCAGCTTCCACAGGATCTAAGACAACAGGCTTCTCCCAAAGCGGACAATATCCAGGGCCTGCTGCTGCCTGAAGACATGCTTTCAGGAGAAGAGGACGAGTGTGTCTCCCCTGATGACATCTCTTTGCCTCCACTCCCAGGAAGCCCCGAATCCCTCCTGGCACCCTCTGACATGGAGTTGGAGGAGCTTCCTACCCTTCATCTGAACAGCTTCAAGACGCAGCCTGCGGCCAGCAGGCTAATGGAAGCCCAGGAATCTGTTCTCCCACCACCTGTGGCTTTTGCTGACACATGCCATGATAAAGGAGAAACACTTTCAAGTCATTTTGAGAAGCCTTCCCTCCAGCTCAGAGCAGAGGCCTCTTTAGCCTCCCAGGGAGTTCTGGAAAAAAGCACAGTCTTCCACAGAATCAGTGCTAAACATCCAGAGAGCATGCGGAATGAAGTGCATGAGACAGCTTCGCAGCAGCCCCCTCAGGGACAGGGAAGCTTGCTAGGAACACGGGAGGAAATGCATGCTGGTAATCAGGTCACTAAAACCCGAGACAGGCTGCATGTTTCCCCTGACGCCTCCTCGGGCCTCGGGTTTCAATCAGACACCAGCCAGGGTTGTCAGAGGCCAATGATTCCCCAAGAAGAGATTAAAAGTACATCACCAAGGAACAGAGTGGTGAGCCTAGCTGGCCAGGCACCTAATTTCTCCAGGCTCCTGTCTAATGTCACTGTCACGGAAGGTTCTCCAGTGACTTTGGAAGTTGAAGTAACGGGATTTCCAGAGCCTACACTGACATGGTGGGTAGCCTATAATGACAAACCGTAAAACAGACACATTGAGTCACTGGGGAAATCTGTGTGCACTAACTTAAAAGTTTAGGGCTGGCTGATTAATGCTGTGAGTCTGCATGATTCAATCTCGCATCAACTCCCAACTCTCATTTTCAAACCAGCATGGCTAACATGCTAAAGGGGGAAAGTAACTCTATTAAATAATAATTTAACAAATACCAAAAAGCAATTTGCTTAACTGAAAATGAGTTGAACTTTCCACTGCCCCCCTTTTAAGTTTAACATTCCACATTTCTAGAGATTGGACATTGAAACTCTTTCTTATCATCTATTTCTACATAAGCATGAAATTCTTTTAGTTTAACATCCCTTATATTCATTTACAAAAAGCATATTAGAATCTAGAGTAGTTTTCTCTTTTCTGTCATTTATTCATTTCATTTTTCACCTCTTCCCAGTAGTCACACATGCCAACTTTGCAATATTTATTTTACTAAGATTTCTTTTTATTACTTTCTTCAATGTGAAAGGTAGAATAAAAATTTCACAGTTGCCCCAGGTGACAGGTAATAAACTCATTTTGAAAGGTGCTATAATAACTGAGCTGTGAACAATAGTATTTCTTTCTGGAAATTTTTTTTTTAAAAAAACCCTATTTGTTTTCAAAAAAAGTAAGCTTCAGAACACAGATTTTGAATCACTAAATATTGTTAACTATAGAAATACTCCTAAATTTTTATATAGTTGTTTTTCAAATTTAACAATTTTCACCCTAATTAGCTTTGTTTGAGGACAAAGGACAAATACATGAGAGCAGGTTTATACTTCAACTGAATATAAGTAAAATGTTGCTGTTATTACGTACCATCAAGTTGGAACCAATCCACAGCTGACCTTCCCGCAGGTGTTCAGAGGCAGTTAATCCCACAGGAGGAGATTACTTCATTAGGCATGATTGTTTCAGTAATTAATGGAATGATTCATTATTCAATGATTATTTCAGTGATTGTGTGTACCCAGTGGTGATACTTGCAGTGAACCAGTTACCTAAAGTACTTATGAGAAAACTTGGGTTTCTTAGTTTATTAAAAGAAACCACACTTTCCTGACAATAGAGTCATGTGTGCTTTCTGTTTTATTTCGTGTGTTTTACAATTGCATGATTTCTACAAATCTAAAAAGTTTTCATATTCATGAGTATAAAAGCTATTTAATTCATCATTAAATATCAGTTAATCCCAAAGAAAATTGTTGTCTGGGGTTTTCCTTATTTTATCCGCACAAATAACTTCTTTAGCAGATGCTGAAGAACCAGTATTTCTCCACCATATTCCTAATAGTCTTGCTCAAGTAACAGCTGATAAGCTACCAAGAATTCATACTTTCATAGGATACTTGAGCAAAGCAAAATTATCACTTAAGTTCAGGTTATGGTATGAGGTTCAGATTATGGTATGAGGTTCAGGTATCAAGTTACCAGATAATGGTTCAAGTTTGTTGTCACTACTTGCCTGGAAATCTTAGAGGATAAATAAGTAGACAAGAATCTAGAATCCATTATTGCTTCATAAAAAAGATGTAGCTAAGTGTTTTCACAGGAAACATTAAGAAACATGCCATTTAACAGTAAGGATCCAGTTGTGCAAATTCCTTTTATAATTATAAATAATTTTCTTTTTCTAATAAAATTAATTCATGAAAGTTAATTGAGCTCATCTCACAAGAAAATGATGTCTCAATATCCCTATCTGAAATAGAGCATTTGTAATTTCAAGTGGATCACTTGGCCTGGATGTGATAGGGCATGTGAGGTGCACCCCAGAGACACCAAGGAGAGCCACATGCCCATGTTCTACAGAACAGCAAGAATGCGGCAGCCAAATTTGACGGTGTGATTTCTCACTCTAGATAATTGTTGCTTTGGGGAAATGGTGGACAAGTGTAGCCAGAGGGGCTGCTTTCTCCAAGGGAGCGAGAAAACAGAATTTTCATGAGCAATATTCCAAATGTTAAATGTCAAAAAAAAGAAGTGTTTTAAAAACCTAATCTGTGTCAATCAAACATTTTTCTACTTATCAGTGGTTGCTTTCTGCTTGAAAGATAAACAATCATATTCTAATTTGGTGTGGCAGCAAAGCTCCTGCAAATGCGAGAACATTCCAGGGTGGGGAACCCAGGTGATGCAGTGGTTAAGCACTCAGCCCACAGGTCAATGGCAGTGGTGTTTTGTTTTTAATGCATTAGTGCCTCCTCAGGAGAAACTCATGACAGTTGGCTTACAAAAAGGTTACAGATTTGGAAATGCAGTGGGACAATTCCAGTGTCTCATGTCCTATGTCTCACAATGAGTCAGAACCAATGAGATGGCAATTTATTTGTTTGTTTCATTACAATGGCAATGGGCCTATTTGCAATGGTTATGAGAACTTGGAAGTTATGTCCATAAACAGAGACCTGACTTTGAATATTGACTCTCTACTTCAGGTTCAAGAAGGGCCAAGAATTGTCTACAGATGGTCACTTACAAGTTTTACACAAGGAGACAAGACATTCAGTGTTCATTCCGAAGGTATGCGAGGCAGACGCAGGCCTGTATGTGGCTCGGGCCCAAAACTCTAGTGGCTCTCTCTCTTCCAGTGTCTTCCTGCACGTGACGGGTAACCACAGGTCACCAATCACAGGCATAAACTGGATAACACTGTGTGTCATCTATGTTAGTGTGTCTTTAATGTACTGGCTGCTCACACAGTGACCATGGTGCTAGCACCGACGGATGTTGGTCTCACAAGACTAAAGGACAATGCATTGTCTGTTTTGCTGTACTTCCCACAAAGCATTCCCTATTAAATGGACCTCCACACTGTCTTTATTGTTCATATGGCGAATTCTACTTGGTGAAATAACAGAATTTTATTTGTTGTTGATTGCCTTCGAGTTGAACACGACTCATAGCGACCACATGAACAATAGGCCTGAAGCCCCTCTACAACCATTGACATTTATCAAAGTTCATAGTTTCCAGCGGCATGTTATTTAGGAAGTGGATGCCACTCCTGCTTCCAAACCTGTCATACTATGTGATAGTGCTCTAATATATTTGAGGATATTGCCTAATGATGTTTTTATTGTCTAAGGATATGTTATTGTACTCTAGAAAGAGATATGTTCAGTATAATGCACAAGTAATGTCCCGTTTATTCCCTTCTAAAGAGAACATAAAGACATATAGATCAAGTATCGCCTCACCATATAGAAATGAGATTGATTAGAAGTCCAATTATTTGATAATTTATTTTTAATTGTACTTGTAAACATATCTTTAAAGGCAGTAACAACAGAAATATTTAACTGACATTGTAATTTTCATCATTTTGTTAGTTGTTTAATTAGCCTGTTTTTATCTCATTTATTAAAATTCGTTTTATATAATTTTCAGTATAAACTCCATTCTTGAGGCTGAGTATGTAACTGTAAATAATTATTTCTCATGTTGATCTTACAGGTTTAACATTAGGTAACAAATGTGCTGTCAACTTTAACTGGAATTTCAAACTTCCATCAGCTCTGCCTGTCAGAGAGCAAGATGGAACCTAAGTTATGGTAACGGACGAGCTTTATCCTGTCATTTCTTTAATGTGCTTTAGGCAGCCAGATATATGATTTCCAGGTTCTCCTGTTTATAATTTTAATTAAAATTAAATTAAATTTAAAATTTAATTGTGCTGATTATCAGTTTTGTAGTTTCCCATCTGCAAAATGTGTTTGTCATCTTCCGCTCGGGTAGTTGAGTTTTCATTTGACTGCCCTGTAGAATTCTGGAAAACATAAAGCACCCTATGAAGACTAAGGGTAATTATATAATATTGTATAAGATACCAGCCTCCTGTTCACTACTTAACAGATGGTGTTTCTTAAGAATGTTATATATTAGAATACTGGTGTGTGCCTCTGACTAGTTTCATGGCATGGGTGGAGAGGAGATAAAATGTTATGAATTGGAGGTTAAATCTTTCTGATTTCTTAAGACTCAATCCATTTCAAATATTAGAAATAAAATACAGGAGAAGACACTAAAGATATTCTAGGGGATGAAGTATGCAATACGGTGGTTTAAGATGAATTCTGTTCTGTTCTTACAATTGTCATTGTGATAATGAAGAAAATTCTGTGTCTTTGTGAGATATATTATTCAGAAAAGAGAATCATCTTAAAAATAAGCAGGAATAAGGCATTTGTTTTTCCAATTTTCAACATGGTCTTGTCATGCTAGGGCAAAATCTTTAATTGAAAGAATTCATTATGGGTTTTTTCATGAGGAGAACGAATTAATTATGTTGCCAGAAGACTGTCTACAAATAATAAAAATATTTAAATGCAAATATTCAAGTTAATATTAAAAAGTTACTGACTGTTATCTGGAGATATGAAATGTGTAGTCAAGTAAAAAGTTGGCATAGTTTTCCTTGTGCTGCATATTCAATTTAATTATACTTTCTGTTAATTTTATTCCAAATTTTAACAGAAATTTATTAAAAGTTTATATATCCTAGAGAACTTAGAGTTTCTTCACACTCCTATGGGGAACTCTCTGGTAGCCAAATCAAAGGCACATGGTTTAATCCACTAGCTATTCCAACAGGCAACATCTTCCCTTGTGATTTATAACCTCTGAAAATCAACTGGAGGGTCACTAATGAGTCACTTTCAACTCGACAACACACAACAACAAGAGCTCCAACTCTCCTATTCTTTTCATCTAATTACACATACTTTCTAATATCTCTTTTTGTCAAATTACAAATATAGGCATATCCTGCCTATAAGTTGTTGCCATTTTTTTAAGCTAAAGAATAAAACCTATTCATGACCAAAAAGGGCAGGCATGACCTGTCTTGTCCCAGTGTCTATCCTTAGCTTGTTAATTTGGCAAATCTCCTTCCTCATTCTGTCTCTTTGCTTGAATGTTAGTGGTTTGAAATTGTCAGGGAATTTCTGCCCCTTTGCTTCATCTGTTGCATGCCAATTTATGTGAATTTAGGGTGGGGAACAAGGTGTGAGAAACTTGCAAAAGCCAGAATCTGTAAGGTACAAACCTGTCAGAGAAAGAAAATGCAAACATCGGGAAAGCTTAGTTGCTATAGATGAGCAGCGTCATGTCTGGTAAAGAAAGTAATCAGTAAATCAAGAGAAACCCTCAGTGAGATGAACTGATCTGAGAGCCACAACAGTGGTTTCGTGACACCAAAGATCATGAAATGATGCAGTTCCCGGAAATGTCTTATTCATATATATATAAATATATATTATATATTTACCATTATGTACCAGTTTATTTACCATTTTATACTATATATGTGTGTATGTGTGTATATCTCATTATATATACCATTATATATATATGTATATATATATATACACACACACAACCCCAT